GGGACAGGACAAGGGGGGATGGCTTTAAACTGAAGCAGGGGAGGTTTAGACTGGATCTAAGGAAGAACTTCTTTCCAGTGAGGGTGGTGAAACCCTGGCAGGGGTTGCCCAGAGAGGGGGTGGAGGCCCCATCCCTGGGAACATTCCAGGCCAGGTTGGCCGGGGCTGTGAGCAACCTGATGTGGTTCAAGGTGTCCCTGCTCCTGCAGGGGGGTTGGGCTGGGTGGGCTCTGGGGGTCCCTTCCCACCCAAACCATTCTGTGATTCTGTGATTCTATCTTCGGGACACACAACATTCCCACCCCCGGGACGGGAGGTTAAAGACCCCCACTCACTCCAGTAGCTGCACGGGGACCCCACTCGCTCCAGCAGCTGAGGGCACAGGCCAGGGGCACCCGAACCCCCAGTCTGACTCCAGTAGCTGGCCCCAAACCCGCTCACACACACAGGTCTCACCAGTAACGGGCACACCGTCCGTGCAGCGCACACTCACACTGCCAAGGTTTGCCTCCTGTCGTCGTCTCCACATCTCCTTTGCCAGGCCTGTGTCTTGCTGTACTTTGGGTTTGGTTCCCCGTTTTCCCCTTAGTTTCCCACCTGACCAGCTCCCCAGTCCCATAACCTCACTGGAATAAACCTTCTCGCCCTCTTGCCCATCAGTTACCGTGACCGACCACGCTCGGTTCCCACCTCCGCCTGTCTTACCATGTGTGGGTCAGATTTGTTTATGGGTTCTTCCCCTTCGTATTATCCCTTGGGATGCTGAAGAAGGTCCTTGACCAGACACCCTGAAAGGAGCAGCCTCTCTGCTTCCACACACCCTTACCCAGACCATCGCCCCCTTCCCACCCGCCTGCCTTCACAGCGCGGATGCTGACACCACACGCAACCGTGGCTGACCTGAAAATAAAGGATAACCAGCTCCCAGGTTCAAGGAGGATGAGGAACTCCTGGAGAGAGTCCAGAGGAGGGCAACAAGGATGATGGGGGGACTGGAGCATCTCCCCTAGGAGGAAAGGCTGAGGGAGCTGGGCTTGTTCAGCCTGGAGAAGAGAAGGCTGAGAGGGGATCTCATCAAGGGGGGCTGTGGAGTCTCCTTCTCTGGAGATCTTCAACCCCCGCCTGGACGCTGTCCTGTGCCCCCTGCTCTGGGTGAGCCTGCTTGGGCAGGGGGGTGGCACTGGGTGAGCTCCGGAGGGCCCTGCCAGCCCCAGCCATGCTGGGATTCTGGGATACAGAGGCCAGGCCAGTCCAACTCAATTAGTTTTATTAGCAAAGACTAGAAAGGACCACAAACTGAGCCACCGCTTTGGCCAGCTCTCCAGGAGGGCTTGCTCCTTGCATTTCAAGTGGTGTTGCAGGAACTGCACTGTGGCAGATTGATGCACGGGCCCCGGTCGGAGGTGCAACCAGAATCAGCTTTATTCAAAAAGAGCATGCTTTTTATACTCAGTGCTCAAAGAAAAACTCCGTTAAAACTTTCCCCTTAGCCGAGCTGCAGGCACCGCTCAGGTGACTGTCCTCAGTCACAGCGCTGACCCCCCG